AGTTATACCATAATATACCCCTTGTGTTTTTTGTTATATCTTCTCTCCACTTCTAAATGTCGTCCAAATCTTATTCTGTTACCTTTTGAAAATATCAAGATTAATTCAATTTATATAACTCTACATTTCAAAATGTAATCAAGTCACAAGAAGCCCTAAACTTCGAACTAAATAAGATTAAAAGAAAATCTAATAATCCATCCTACGAATTTTTTTTTAAAACGTAGATATTTCTATTGATGTTAATGTTCTGCAAGATTCTCTGACTCTTCTGAGGTAGGTTTTCAAATTGATATCCACAATGTAAAGCAATGTTAAGTCTGTAGCTCGAGTATGCGATTTTGAATGCCACGTGAAATGCTGTCAATGCTGAAAATATAATTTTCTGATCTTCACCAAATTCAAAAGACACCAGTAAGCAGACATGAGCTTGTGGAGTTTGCAAGAGATGGTACCCATCAATTTCAATTCAATTTCAATTATTTAATCTGTTTTGAATTATTCGCCTTTGTAGTAAATAAACATCAAGCTGTTAACGGTTCGTAGTGTCTAGTTGCCGACCGATTCTTTACTTTCTTTAACGAACCAGTTTTAAATGCAGTATAACAGACGTATTGTTGAATTTCACCGTTGGTGTCTTGTGTTCAACAAGTTCAAATCTCAATTAGCTAGATTAAATGTTAGTAACTGCTCAAGGCTGACAATAATGGAAATGGTTTGGTCTTCTCATTGATTTTGTTGCATTGACGTCTGAACGATATTCTTTTTTTTGCGATCTGTTTATCAACACTTATCACCTGTCAAAAGAATTGCTGCCCACGGAAGTTTTTTCTATATATCGGCGTTGGTGTTGGTGTCCAAGCTTTTCGTATACCGTATATGAGTACATTTTAACACGTTGCTTAATTTTTACTAAAGGCAATTTGAAGGCTTGACATTAGAATAAAAAGACAGGATGGATACATATTTGCCAATCTGTGTAAGGTTGAACATGGGCTGGTATTTAATAAAAACCTCAATCAAAACTTATCCAACTGAATAATAAAAATGAGTGGATTTTGGTACTGCTGTTGGAACGAATTGTTGGTTTTAAATGTCAGAAAGTGGTGGAATTTTAGTACATCATTATCGAATTTGAATTTCTCTCCGTTCAATACTATCTACAATCAAAGCGTATAGAAATACAGTATGTATACATTGATAAAAGAACTAAGAAAAAAGTTTGTATCCAATTTCAAGAGAATAACGATTTAACACAGAAAGTCTTTTTGATAGAAAGAAATAACTATATTTTACAAGGACAACAACTTTGGTAAACAGATAAGGATCTGTTCTATCAACTGGTCCGTGGCCAAGATAGAAGTATATCAGTATTTTTTCAGTATACATGCATCATAAATATTACATTATATATGTACGACAGTGACAGACTTCAAAACATTAACGTCATTCCACATTTTAAAAGGCCAATGCTCATGAAAACTCACTAGTGAGCAAAACCTCTATCTCGATTAACATAGACACGAAGTTTTTTCAAATTATTTCTATAACCAAACTTATAACAACACCATAATATGCTCATGCGTTTCAAATGCTATACTTAATAGGATTTTATGTGAAGAGGTCCATATACTGAGAAAAAGTCATTATAATATCGATATCCTTTCGATTGTCATTGAAGGGAAACAATTCCATATATTTGTTAAAGAGACAGACAACATGGATTAGTTATCGCACTTGTGTTACCTTGACTTCTTCCAGCAACGTGTTTTTGTGGATGGAATGTAGGTGCTTACTATTGATATTCCAAGTCCACAGAACTCAATGCTAGCTTTCCACAGCTAGCTTTTCACAACCTGTCCGACGCCCGTCCGGTTCGCCTTTTATTCAAGAAAAAAAGATGCAACAATAGTTAAGATTGTCGTAGCTCTCAATTTATTGAGAAAAAAGTTAACTATCATTAGAAATTATTACAAAATTCTGCCATTAGCTTCTTAGATTTCTTATAAAACATAATAGTAAAGTAGCACGTGAGTTTCTTAGCATCATAACTTTAATCCGTTCAGAGCCTACTTAACAGTAGCTTTAAAAACATTACTCTGGTAAATAGTGGATCTTATAGGAGTGATTATGTCATATAAAATATATGAAAAAAGTCGCCAGGTTTGGTATTATATTTTTGATCCTGCTACGAATTATGAACCTTTGCTGTGTCATGAACCTTGAAACTATACTGTTGTGTGATAAAGTTTGATAAGCTATTCTGGTCACAACACAAACGCGAGATGAATTTACAATATAAAAGTACATTAATATATCTATTAAATTATAATATCATTAACATTGACTATGGTGTTTTTATATTAATTAATGTATGTACAGACCTTAATCTAGCAATATTTGCTGGTAAACGTTTCGTATTTCGCTTTGTCATTTACGATGAAAAGTAAACAAAATTAGGTTTTTGGCGAGCGAAGGAGTATGATCCAGGTTAGTCAAAGAGGAGAGATACCTAGGACAGTTCATCTGATTTGGAAATTTGATAGCAAAGCAGGTTCTTTAAAAGTCCAGGAGGAGTGGTATGAGTTAACGATTTACAATGCCAAGTGAAAAGGTCAACACGGATGAAATCATCTACGCAACTGGGAATAAAGGGAGATATCAGATAATACAAGGATTTCTTTGTACCTTCTCCTGTTTAACGTGTGCTTTTCCAGCTTTATCCTTTGTATTTCTAGGTAATATGTGCTCCATGTAACATTACAGGGTCACTCATGTCAAAATGTTTGGTTAATATAAATCATTAGTATATTTCAGAAAAGGCAAAATTGAGCAGTTGTCAATAGTAGCTAAAGCTGATCTTACGCGTTGAATAAAGGCCAGAAAGACAGAAGCACATAACGGGTGTTGAATGCGTGTAAAGACTTACATGGTTCCGTCAAGTATATCACAAGCGACAGAATAATCAGGAGCTTTTTATGTGAAAGATTCTGAACTTCGCCTTTATACTGTGGCATTGTAAAGATGTGTGGTTTTGCTTTTTTTGAAAGTCCAAGTCCGATTTCTTATTGATTCACTTTACTTTTCCCCTAGGTTACATCCCAGACCATTACTGTTCTGCTTTACCAAACACAACAGACTGGAGCGCGTGGAATATCGAGAGTGAATTTATAGAAGATATACAATACAAACAATGTCACATTGATATTACCTCAAATAAATCTGGAGTTCTCTCCCATCTACAACTATCGTGTATCAATGGGTATGAATATAATTTGCATCGTGATGTTTCAATTGTGTCTGAGGTAATCACGTTATATTCATCATCACCAACATTGATATACTATTCTTCATCATCAATATCGTAGTCGTGATCTTCATCGTCACCATCATCATCGTCATCCGATAACTCATTTTTTACACCATTACCAATCCCTTCCATTTCTTTGATCTTATTACATGAACAATTCATGACCTTAAAGATTGGCCCAGCCAAGATTTGCATCTTTCACTTCTTCATGGTCTGAAACATTTAACCTCACAGACCAATCTATATCCATAAATACGCGACGATTAGTCCTCGATTTCACCTTATGTTCAGAAAAATATTGAGATAAAAGTGTATTTCATATTGAATCAATCCATTTGACCATTTTTCCAAGTTTCATAGTTTTAGATTAACCATTTTTATTCTATTCCAATTTCCGTATTTCAGTTTGATCTTGTGTGTGATAAAGCTGGTATAGCCGAACTCTCTCAAACTATGCTATTACTAGGACAGTGTTTCGGTGCTTTTTGTTTCTCATCATTAGCAGACAGATTCGGACGGAAACCACCCCTGATCTTCTCTTATTTCCTGCTCTTGCTCTGTACTATAGCCCAGGCTTTCATCAACAATGTCGAGACTTTTACAGCGCTCCGATTCTTTATGGGTGCATCACAACAGGTAAAATTATATATTAAGAGAGCATGCTATTAAATACAGCTTCAGTCACAGACAACAGTAACAAACAAGGTCTTAACGTCTTGTTTTAGAACTGTAGAACCTCGCCATCTCAACTGCAGTCTATTTATTTCCTCTTGTGCAAGAATTAGATAACATAATCTCTGTAATATGACGATCCAGGCAACATATTCTCGTGGTGCTAGGATATCCTAGAACAGTGTTACAGGCTAAGACTCATTTCCAGAATACGACCCCAGGTATTTTTAACCTCTGTGTTTCCTAAGCGACATACTCTACATCTGTTTCTACATATTTGAATGAAGTCTGTATCGCTACCGAACGATATATATCTTTGTAGGGAATAGCAATTGGATCCTATTCAACCTTTGTGGAATTAATGACTCCAGAGATAAGGATATACTGTGGATTTATTGATTCGATTTCATGGTCACTATCAACGATGTCTCTAGCACCTGTAGCCTATCTAACTAGAAATTACAGCTGGAGAACGTTTCAGTTGGCATCATTGATAAGTTTTCTACACTTACCAGTTTTATTGTGGTGAGTTATTTTATACTTTGCAATTTGTTTCTTTACGATAATATGTTGGTTGATGGGCGTCAAACCCAGGTGTCAAAAGGAACTGAAATTCACAAAGTTTAACTAAGCTGAAGAGAATGTTTATCAGAATAAACACCTATTATCAATCTCTACAGGTAATCGCTATCTGATGAGACGACCTTTTCCGATTTTCTAGATAAATTTGTACTTCTATTTGTCTTACAGGATGATGACCGAATCATTGAGGTGGTTGTTAGCAAACAACAAATACAAATCTGCCGAAAAAATCATTAAAACAATGTGTAAAATGAATAATACATCGTTCGAAAAAGTAAAATTGATTTTAAATCAAAAAATATCTAAGTTCAAACAGTCCAAACAGGATTTGCAATTCGAATACTTAAAACACAATGTACAAAGACAATTTGATATTGTCAAGGAGGACATAACACACAGTTCGGACTTGCAAACACAAAATTCTGATGTGTTGTATGGTGAGAAAGACGCAGAGAAAGAGAAAACTGCATTGTTGATTGATAAAGATGGACCTGCACCAGATGCTGAACGGGAGCAACGAGAATCTAAAAAGCCAGATCGTTATACAGTTCTAGATGTGTTTAAACACATGGATGTGC